CACCTGTCACTCACCCACTCGGTGCAGTTGATCTGTATCTCACCTGTCACTCACCTGTCACACCTGTCACCTGTCACTCACCTGTCACACCTGTCACACCTGTCACACACCTGTCACCTGTCACTCACCTGTCACACCTGTCACACCTGTCACACACCTGTCACCTGTCACTCACCCACTCGGTGCAGTTGATCTCTCACCTGTCACACCTGTCACACACCTGTCACCTGTCACTCACCCACTCGGTGCAGTTGACGAGCGCGCTGCTGGTCGGCTGCAGGAGGCAGGTGCTGCGGTAGGGGGCGCCGTTGAACCTGGGGGGACCCAAAATCCCCGGGAATTGACCCAAAATCAGGAGGGAGCCAAAATCCAGAGAAATGGACCCAAAATCAGCAAAAACGGACCCAAAATCAACAGAAACGGACTCAAAATCAACAGAAACGGACCCGAAATCAGCAAAAATGGACCCAAAATCAACAGAAATGGACCCAAAATCAGCAAAAACGGACCCGAAATCAACAGAAACGGACCCAAAATCAACAGAAACAGACCCAAAATCAACAGAAACGGACCCAAAATCAACAGAAACGGACCCAAAATCAGCAAAATGGGACCCAAAATAAACAGAAACGGACCCAAAATCAACAGAAATGGGCCCAAAATCAACAGAAATGGACCCAAAATACAGAATGAACCAAAATCCCCCAAATTGGACCCAAAAAGCCACAAGAATGAACCCAAAATCCCCCAAAATGGACCCAAAATCCCCCAAAATGGACCCAAAATCAGCAATTACCCAAAATCCAAAGGAATGAACCCAAATCTTCCCAATTCCCCCCCTTTTTTCCCAATTCCCCCATTTTTTGTTTGTCCCATTTCCCCATTTTTCTGATTTCCCCCCATTTTTCCCCAATTTCCCCCCCTTTTTTTCCTGTTTCCCCCCCATTTTTCCCCCCATTTTCTCCATTTTTCCCCAATTTCTCCCTAGTTTTCCCATTTCTCCCCTCTTTTTCTCCCCATTTTTACCCCATTTCCCCCCCAATTTCCCCCATTTCCCCCCTTTTTGCCTGATTTTCCCTTTTTTTCCTGTTTCTCCCCCATTTTTTCTCCCCATTTTCCCCCCATTTTCCCCATTTCCCCCCTTTTTTCCCCAATTTCTCCCTCTTTTTCCCATTTCTCCCTATTTTCCCCATTTTTTCTCCCTATTTTCCCCATTTTCCCCCCATTTTTCCCCCTTTTTTCTCAATTTCCCCCCCTTTTCCCCCATTTCCCCCCTTTTTGCCTGATTTCCCCTTTTTTCCCTGTTTCTCCCCCATTATAAAAAAACAAAAATTGGTGGGACTCGGGGAAGGGAGAGAACCAGGGGAAAAACCAAAAAAAAACCCAAGAAATGGCCCAAAAACCCCGGGAATCGCCCCAAAAATCAGTGGGATTGGGGGGAGGGAGAGAACCAGGGGAAAAACCCAAAAAAACCCCAAAGAAATGGCCCAAAAAACCCCAAGAAATGGCCCAAAAACCCTGGGAATGAACCCAAAAATCAGGGGGACTCGGGCAAGGGAGAGAATGAGGGAAAAAGGAAAAAAAAACCCCAAAAAATGGCCCAAAAACCGTGGGAATGGACCCAAAAATCAGTGGGATTAGGGGGAGGGACAGAACCAGGGAAAAAACCAAAAAAAAACCCAAAGAAATGGCCCAAAAACTGCAGGAATCGCCCCAAAAATCCGTGGGATTGGGGGGAGGGACAGAACCCCGGGAAATGGCAAAAAAAACCCCCCAAGAAATGGCCCAAAAACTGCAGGAATGAACCCAAAAATCCGTGGGACTCAGGGAAGGGAGAGAATGAGGGAAAAAGGAAAAAAAACCCCAAGAAATGGCCCAAAAACACCAAAAATTGCCCCAAAAAATCTGTGGGATTGGGGGAAGGGAGAGAACCCCGGGAAATGGCAAAAAAAACCCCGAAGAAATGGCCCAAAAACCCCAAGAAATGGCCCAAAAACTGCGGGAATGAACCCAAAAATCAGTGGGACTCGGGGAAGGGAGAGAATGAGGGAAAAAGGAAAAAAAAAACCCAAAAAATGGCCCAAAAACCCCAAGAAATGGCCCAAAAACTGTGGGAATGAACCCAAAAATCAGTGGGACTCGGGCAAGGGAGAGAATGAGGGAAAAAGGAAAAAAAAACCCCAGGAAATGGCCCAAAAACTGTGGGAATCGCCCCAAAAATCAGTGGGATTGGGGGGAGGGACAGAACCCCGGGAAAAGGTAAAAACAACCCCCAAGAAATGGCCCAAAATCTGCAGGAATCGCCCCAAAAATCCGTGGGATTAGGGGAAGGGAGAGAACCAGGGAAATGGCAAAAAAAAAACCCCAAGAAATGGCCCAAAAACTGCGGGAATGGACCCAAAAATCAGTGGGATTCGGGGAAGGGAGAGAGCGAGGGAAAAAGGAAAAAAAAACCCCAAAAAAATGGCCCAAAAACCACAGGAATTAACCCAAAAATCCGTGGGATTTAGGAAATGGACAAAACCAGGGGAAAAGGTAAAAAAAACCCCAGGAAATGGCCCAAAAACACCAAAAATTGCCCCAAAAATCCATGGGATTGGGGGGAGGGAGAGAGCGAGGGAAAAAGGAAAAAAAAACCCCAAAAATGGCCCAAAAACCCCAAAAATGGTCCCAAAAATCCGTGGGATTCGGGAAATGGACAAAACCAGGGGAAAAGGTAAAAAAAACCCCCAGGAAATGGCCCAAAATTCACAGAAATGACCCCAAAACCAACTCCCGTTCCATCCTGAACCAAAATCCCCAGGAAATTGCCCCAAAACCCCCCAGGAACGACCCCAAATCCCACAGAAATCGCTCAAAACCATGGAAACCACCCAAAAAACAAAGGGAAATAACCCCAATACCCATAAAAATCAACCCAAACCCTCCCAAAATCCCCGGGAATTGGCCCAAAAAAACCCCAAAATTCACTTGGAAGGACGAAAACCCCCAAAAATCCCCAAAAAATGGGGGAACGACCCCAAAAAACTCTTAAAAAAAAGCGAAATAAAGGCTCGAAAAAGCTGAAAAAAAACCCCAAAATTCGCTTGGAAGGATGAAAATCCCCAAAAATCCCCAAAAAAAGGGGGAACGACCCCAAAAAATACTTAAAAAAGCGAAACAAAGGCTGGAAAAAGCTGATAAAAAACCCCAAAATTCGCTTGGAAGGACGAAAACCCCCAAAAAATGGGGGAATGACCCCAAAAAACCCTTAAAAAAAAGCAAAATAAATGCTGGAAAAAGCTGAAAAAAAGCTCAAAAACCGTGAGAAAATGGAAAAAAATGCCAAAAAATTTTACAAAAAAGCGAAAAATCCAGCCCAAATCCGCTGGGATTGAAGCAAAACTGCAGGAAATGGCCGCAAAAAATACTTAAAAAAGCAAAATAAAGGCTGGAAAAAGCTGAAAAAAAGCTCAAAAACCGTGAAAAAATTGAAAAAAACGTCAAAAAATTTTAAAAAAAAAGCGAAAAATCCAGCCCAAATCCGCTGGGATTGAAGCAAAACTGCAGGAAATGGCCCCGAAGCGTCGGGAATGTCCCAAAAAGGCAGGAATTTGGCCCGATCTCACCTGCTCGGCGTAGAGGTCGTCGCGGTCGTGCATGTGCTGGTGCTTGCCCAAATCCGTGGTGATTTCGCCCACCTCGGTGTAGAACTGCACGTCCGTGTGCCGCTTCTTGCCGAACATGATGGCGTTCTGGGGGGAAAAAGGGGCAGTTTGGGCAAAAATCCTGACATTCCGGCTCCAAATCCTGAAATTCCGGCTCCAAATCCTGAAATTCCGGGTCGAAATCCCTGAAATTCCAGCTCTAAATCCCGAAATTCTGGCTTGAAACCCCGAAATTCCAGCTCAAAATCCTGAAATTCCAGCTCGAACTCCCAAAATTCCAGCTCTAAATCCCGAAATTCTGGCTCAAAATCCTGAAATTCCAGCTCGAAATCCCGAAATTCTGGGTCAAAATCCCGAAATCCCGGGTCAAAATCCCGAAATTCTGGCTCAAAATCCTGAAATTCTGGGTCAAAATCCCGAAATTCCAGCTCAAAATCCCGAAATTCTGGCTTGAAACCCCAAAATTCCAGTTCAAAATCCTCAAACTCCAGGTCAAAATCCTGAAATTCCAGGTCAAAATCCTGAAATTCCAGCTCGAAATCCCCGAAATTCCGGGTTGAAATCCTGAAATTCCAGTTCAAAATCCTGAAATTCCAGTTCAAAATCCCAAAATTCCGGCTCGAAATCCCCGAAATTCCGGGTCGAAATCCTAAAGTTCCAGTTCAAAATCCTGAAATTCCAGCTCGAAATCCCTGAAATTCCAGCTCGAAATCCTGAAATTCCAGCTGTAAATCCCGAAATTCTGGCTTGAAAGCCCGGAATTCTGGGTCAAAATCACGGAATTCTGGGTCAAAATCCCAAAATTCTGGCTCAAAATCACAAAATTCTGGCTCGAAATCCCGAAACTCCAGCTAAAAATCCCGAAATTCTGGCTCAAAATCCTGAAATTCTGGGTCAAAATCCCGAAATTCTGGCTCAAAATCCCAAAATTCCGGCTCGAAATCCCAAAATTCCATCTCTAAATCCCCGAAATCCCGGGTCGAAATCCCGAAATTCTGGCTCGAAATCCTGAAATTCTGGGTCAAAATCCCGAAATTCTGGGTCAAAATCCCAAAATTCTGGGTCAAAATCCCGAAATTCTGGCTCGAAATCCCTGAAATTCCAGCTCAAAAATCCCGAAATTCTGGGTCAAAATCCCGAAATTCTGGCTCGAAACCCCAAAATTCTGGCTCGAAAAATCCCGAAATTCTGGGTCAAAATCCCGAAATTCTGGCTCGAAACCCCAAAATTCTGGCTCGAAATCCCGAAATTCCAGCTCAAAATCCTGAAATTCTGGGTCAAAATCCCAAAATTCTGGCTTGAAACCCCGGAATTCTGGGTCAAAATCCTGAAATTCTGGGTCAAAATCCTGAAATTCTGGGTCAAAATCCCTGAAATTCCAGCTCTAAATCCCGAAATTCTGGGTCAAAATCCTGAAATTCTGGGTCAAAATCTCAACATTCCAGGTCAAAACCCCAAAATTCTGGCTCGAAACCCCGAAATTCCAGCTCGAAATCCTGAAATTCCAGCTCGAAATCTCTGAAATTCTGGGTCAAAATCCCAAAATTCCAGCTTGAAATCCCCAAAATTTTGGCCAGAAATCCTGAAATTCCAGCTTGAAACCCCAAGATTCCGGCTCAAACTCCTGCAATTCCAGCTCAAAATCCCAAAATTCTGGCTCAAAATCCCGAAATTCTGGCTGGAAATCCCTGAAATTTTGGCCAGCAATCCTAAAATTCCCGATCAAAATCCCAAAATTCCAGCTCAAAACCCCAAAATTCCGGCTAAAAACCCAAAAATTCTGGCTAAAAATCCCAAAATTAAAGCTTGAAATACCTGAAATTTTGGCCAGAAATCCCAAAATTCTGGCTCAAAATCCCGAAATCCCGGCTCAAAATCCCAAAAATTCCAGCTCAAAACCCCAAAATTTTGGTAATCCCGCGGGGATTTCCCCAAAAATTCCGGATTTTGCCCAAAATCGTTGTTTTTTGCCCCAAAATCTCAGACTTTTGACCTCAAATCTTCCTGTTTCACCCAACCCAGGAGCTGCCCCGAAACCCGAAATTTTCGCCCCAAATCCTCCAGGTTTCACCCCAAATCTGCGGGGATTTCCCCAAAAATTCGAAGTTTTTCCCAAAATCATTGGTTTTTGCCCCAAAATCTCAGACTTTTGACCTCAAATCTTCCTGTTTCACCCAACCCAGGAGCTGCCCCGAAACCCGAAATTTTCGCCCCAAATCCTCCAGGTTTCACCCCAAATTTGCGGGGATTTCCCCAAAAATTCCAGGTTTTGCCCAAAATCGTTGTTTTTTGCCCCAAAATCTCAGACTTTTGACCTCAAATCTTCACGTCTGACCCAACCCAGGAGCTGCCCCGAAACCCGAAATTTTCGCCCCAAAACCCCAAAGTTTTGCCCCAAACCCGCAGGGATTTCCGCAAAAATTCCGGATTTTGCCCAAAATCGCTGTTTTTCGCCCCAAAATCCAAATATTTCAACCCAAAATCTCAGACTTCTGACCTCAAATCTTCACGTCTGACCCAACCCAGGAGCTGCCCCAAAACCCCAAAGTTTCACCCCAAACCCGCGGGGATTTCCCCAAAAATTCCGGATTTTGCCCAAAATCGTTGTTTTTTGCCCCAAAATCTCAGACTTTTGACCTCAAATCTTCACGTCCGACCCAACCCAGGAGCTGCCCCAAAACCCCAAAGTTTCGCCCCAAACCCGCGGGGATTTCCCCAAAAATTCCAAGTTTTGCCCAAAATCATTGGTTTTTGCCCCAAAATCTCAGACTTTTGACCTCAAATCTTCCTGTTTCACCCAACCCAGGAGCTGCCCCGAAACCCGAAATTTTCGCCCCAAAACCCCAAAGTTTTGCCCCAAACCCGCAGGGATTTCCGCAAAAATTCCGGATTTTGCCCAAAATCGCTGTTTTTCGCCCCAAAATCCAAATATTTCAACCCAAAATCTCAGACTTCTGACCTCAAATCTTCACGTCTGACCCAACCCAGGAGCTGCCCCAAAACCCCAAAGTTTCGCCCCAAATCCTCCAGGTTTCGCCCCAAATTTGTGGGGATTTCCCCAAAAATTCCGGATTTTGCCCAAAATCGCCGTTTTTGCCCCAAAATCCCAAGATTTCAACCCAAAATCTCTGACTTCTGACCTCAAATCTTCATGTGTGACCCAACCCAGGAGCTGCCCCGAAACCCGAAATTTTCGCCCCAAATCCTTGAGGTTTTGCCCCAAATTTGTGGGGATTTCCCCAAAATTCGGGATTTTGCCCAAAATGGCCGTCACCCCAAACCCGCAGGGATTTCCCCCAAAATTCGGGATTTTGCCCAAAATGGCCGTTTTTGGCCCCAAAAGCACCTTGAGGTGGAAGTGCAGCACGATGATCATCTCGCCGTCGCAGGGCTGGAACACGGCGTGCTTGATGTTGTTGTAGAGGATGTCGACCTTGTCGCCCCGCACCGAGGTGAAACGGAAGCCTGGGCGGAGAGAAAGCCCCAAAATCGGCGGAAATCACCCCAAAATCCAGGGGATGCCAAAATCCACGAAAAACGGCAAAAATATCAATGAAAACGGCCCCGAAATCCAGGAAAACCAACCCAAAATCCACGGGAATCACCCCAAAATCCACGGGAACCGACCCAAAATCCACAGAAATCACCCCAAAATCCACGGGAACCAACCCAAAATCCGTGGAAATCACCCCAAAATCGGCGGAAATCACCCCAAAATCCAGGGGATGCCAAAATCCATAAAAACGGCAGAAAAATCAATGAAAACGGCCCCGAAATCCTGGAAAACCGACCCAAAATCCACAGAAATCACCCCAAAATCCAAGGGATGCCAAAATCCATAAAAAACGGCAGAAAAATCAATGAAAATAGCAAAAAATCAATGAAAATGGCAAAAAATCAATGAAAATGGCCCCGAAATCCAGGAAAACCAATCCAAAATCCACAGAAATCACCCCAAAATCCACGGGAACCGACCCAAAATCTGCGGAAATCAACCCAAAATCCAGGAAAATGGGCAAAAAAATCAATGAAAACCACAAAAATATCAATGAAAATGGCCCCGAAATCCTGGAAAACCGACCCAAAATCCACAGAAATCACCCCAAAATCCACGGGAACCGACCCAAAATCCATGAAAATCACCCCAAAATCCACGGGAACCGACCCAAAATCCGCAGAAATCACCCCAAAATCCACGGGAACTGACCCAAAATCCACAGAAATCAACCCAAAATCCAGGGGTTGCCAAAATCCATGAAAAACGGCAGAAAAATCAATGAAAATGGACCCGAAATCCAGGAAAACCAACCCAAAATCCACAGAAATCACCCCAAAATCCACGGGAACCGACCCAAAATCTGCAGAAATCACCCCAAAATCCACGGGAACCAACCCAAAATCCACAGAAATCACCCCAAAATCTGCCGGAACCGACCCAAAATCTGCGGAAATCAACCCAAAATCCACGGGAACCGACCCAAAATCCATGAAAATCACCCCAAAAATCAATGGAAACTGCCCCAAAATCCTGGAAAAACACCAAAATGTCCAGGAAAACCAACCCAAAATCCAGAGAAATCACCCCAAAATCCACGGGAACCAACCCAAAATCCACAGAAATCACCCCAAAATCCAGGGGTTGCCAAAATCCAGGAAAATCACCAAAAAATCCAGGAAAACCACCAAAAAATCCATGAAAACCAACCCCAAATCCAGGAAAATCACCCCAAAATCCGCGGAAATCACCCCAAAATCCACAGAAATCAACCCAAAATCCAGGGGATGCCAAAATCCAGGAAAATCACCAAAAACCCATGAAAACCAACCCAAAATCCAGGAAAACCAACCCAAAATCCACGGAAATCACCCCAAAATCCAGGGGATGCCAAAATCCATAAAAACGGCAGAAAAACCAGGAAAATGGGCAAAAAATCAATGACAATGGACCCAAAATCCACAGAAATCACCCCAAAATCCACGGGAACCGACCCAAAATCCACGGAAATCACCCCAAAATCCAGGGGTTGCCAAAATCCAGGAAAATCACCAAAAAATCCAGGAAAACCACCAAAAAATCCATGAAAACCAACCCCAAATCCAGGAAAATCACCCCATCCAGGAAAATCATCCCAAAATCCAAGAAAATCACCCCAAAAATCAATGGAAACTGCCCCAAAATCCTGGAAAAACACCAAAATGTCCAGGAAAACCAACCCAAAATCCACAGAAATCACCCCAAAATCCACGGGAATCCCAAAATCCAGGAAAAACGGCAAAAAATCAAGGAAAACGGCCCCGAAATCCAGGAAAACCAACCCAAAAATGCAGGAAAACCATCCCAAAATCCAGGGAAATCACCCCAAAATCTGTGGGAATGCCAAAATCCACGAAAACCACCAAAAAACCCTTGAGGAACTCCAAAAAAAGTCAAAAAACCCCCCAAAAAAAACAAAAAACCCCAAAAAACCCTTGAGGGACTCCAAAAAAAGACAAAAAACCCCAAAAAAACCCTTGAGGAACCCCAAAAAAAGTCAAAAAACCCCAAAAAAACCTTGAGGAACTCCAAAAAAATCAAAAAACCCCAAAAACCCTTGAGGAACTCCCAAAAAAAGTCAAAAAAACCCAAAAAAAGGACAAAAACCCCAAAAAACCTTTGAGGAACTCCAAAAAAAGTCAAAAAAACCCAAAAATCCTTTGAGGAACTCCAAAAAATGTCAAAAAACCCAAAAAAAAGTCAAAAAACCCAAAAAAAAGTCAAAAAACCCAAAAAAAACCATGAGGAACTCCAAAAAAAAGTCAAAAAACCCCAAAAAAAGCCAAAAAACCCCAAAAAACCTTTGAGGAACTCCAGAAGAACTTTGAGGAACCTTCAAAAACCTTCAAGAACTCCCCAAAATCTGAAGGAACTCCCAAAAAAAACCCCACGAAACCTCCCAAAACCTCAACTCCCACCCCGAAATGACCCAAATTTCCGGGTTTTTGGGTATTTTGGGATATTTTGGGTTATTTTGGGATATTTTGGTCACCATTGACGTGCGCCTCCAGCGCGCCCTCAAGGAACTCCCAAAACCTCCATGAAACCTCCCAAAACCTCAACTCCAACCCCAAATTCCCGCGTTTTTTTGGGCTGTTTTTGGGTATTTTGGGCTATTTTGGGATATTTTGGGTTATTTTGGGGGGATTTTGGGATATTTTGGGGTATTTTAGTCACCGTTGACGTGCGCCTCCAGCGCGCCCTCAAGGAACTCCCAAAACCTCCATGAAACCTCCCAAAACCTCAACTCCAACCCCAAATTCCCGCGTTTTTGGGTTTTTTGGGCTGTTTTTGGGTATTTTGGGTTATTTTGGGTTATTTTGGGGGGATTTTGGGATATTTTGGGATATTTTGGGATACTTTGAGTTATTTTGGGGGGATTTTGGGATATTTTGGTTTTTGGGCTATTTTGGGATATTTTGTGATATTTTGGGGGGATTTTGGGGTGTTTTGGTCACCGTTGACGTGCGCCTCCAGCGCGCCCTCAAGGAACTCCCAAAAACCCCCAGGAAACCTCCCAAAACCTCAACTCCAACCCCAAATTCCCGTTTTTTTGGGTTTTTTTGGGCTGTTTTTGGGTATTTTGGGATATTTTGGGTTATTTTGGGGGGATTTTGGGGCGTTTTGTCACCGTTGACGCGCGCCTCCAGCGCGCCCTCAAGGAACTCCCAAAACCTCCATGAAACCTCCCAAAACCTCAACTCCAATCCCAAATTCCCGCGTTTTTGGGTTTTTTTGGGCTGTTTTTGGGCCTTTTGTGATATTTTGTGATATTTTGGGGGGATTTTGGGATATTTTGGGCACCGTTGACGCGCGCCTCCAGCGCGCCCTCAAGGAACTCCCAAAACCCCCAGGAAACCTCCCAAAACCTCAACTCCAACCCCAAATTCCCGCGTTTTGGGGTTTTTTTGGGGTGTTTTTGGGTATTTTGGGATATTTTGGGGGGATTTTGGGATATTTTGGGATATTTTGGTCACCATTGACGTGCGCCTCCAGCGCGCCCTGCATGAACTCCCAAAAACCCCCAAGAAACCTCCCAAAACCTCAACTCCAACCCCAAATTCCCGTTTTTTTGGGTTTTTTTGGGCTGTTTTTGGGTATTTTGGGGGGATTTTGGGATATTTTGGTCACCGTTGACGTGCGCCTCCAGCGCGCCCTCAAGGAACTCCCAAAACCCCCAAGAAACCTCCCAAAACCTCAACTCCAACCCCAAATTCCCGTTTTTTTGGGTTTTTTTGGGCTGTTTTTGGGTATTTTGGGCTATTTTGGGGGAATTTTGGGTTATTTTGGGGCGTTTTGTCACCGCTGACGTGCGCCTCCAGCGCGCCCTGCATGAACTCCCAAAACCTCCATGAAACCTCCGAAAACCTCAACTCCAACCCCAAATTCCCG